TGTGTGTGTGTGTGTGTGTGTGTGTGTGTGTGTGTGTGTGTGTGTGTGTGTGTGTGTGTGTGTGTGTGTGTGTGTGTGTGTGTGTGTTGCTCCATGTTAAATGGAGTAGTTTTCCCTCATGAGGGAGTCGTCAAAATGGCTGCTTTCTCTCAGCATGTTGTGACTATGCTAGAGGGAAGAAACAGATTGATTCAGAGGTCAAAATACAGACAGCAGCTGTCTGCGTGTGTGTGTGTGTGTGTGTGTGTCTCATGCATGTTAAAAGTGAAAGTGGACAGTAGGGGATTCAAATATTTGCATGTTTGTTTGTCAGCGGGTGTCTCTCCTTTGACTGTTTTGTTCCGACTTTCAGGCTGCGACCCCCACTCCAAGTGGTGGTCCTCCGTTGCCGTGGTTATCATCAACTGGCTCCAAGGAGATGACGCTGCCGCGGAGAGACTGTATCCGACTGTTGAGCACCTGCCCCGCAGTCTGCAGAACGCAGAGTAAGTTGGACATACACACACTGGAACTTCTACAGCCAGCTGAAGAGTGTGTTGCATAACCCGCGTCTGCTCATGCCAAGCAGAGGACACGCACACATACACACTTCCACTACTTTAACCTGTGTCCTCCGTCTCTTTTCCCCATGCTCTGTCAGGAGTCTTCTGCCCAAGGCGTGTCTGAACACATTCAGGGCAGTACGGGCTCTGCTGTCCAAGCCAGAAAACTGCCAGCTGAGTCTGAGCTACAGCGACAAGGCCAGCGCCCTGCTCCGAGACAGCCTTAACCTAGGACCACACTGCCACAGCTCCAGTTTAGACAAGGTATACACACACTTGCACACAGAGGCACAAACACACGCAGATTTCAGTCATGTTGATGTTTATTATTCCTATGAGGGAAATGTTGTGAAGGTGACAGCATCCACATTAAAAAATCTATAAAAGAAAAAAAAAAGAAAACACAGTGACAGATGTGGCAGATGTGCCCACACATGTGCATGTATAAAATTGTAAACACAGGAAATTGCCCACACATAATCACTCGAGTATACACGCACTTTTCTCAAAATACAAAGCCACACACACACACACACACACACACACACACACACACACACACACACACACACACACACACACACACACACACTTTAACCGCAGCCAGTGAATCCCCCTCAGCAACTCCCGCTCTGTGATACCGCGGTGTCCTACCCTCTGGCGCTCAGCAGATGGTGATGCTGGTGGATAGGTAGCTCACGGTGTGTGTATGTCTACGGCCAGAGCTGTAGTGCATTGTAGTTGCATTGCATGTGTGTCTCAGCGGAGTGCAATGTACCTGCAGTGCAACACAGAGCTGGGCCACTAACAGCAGAACACACACAGTGAGCGGTGAAAATGTCCTTCACCCTTGAGTAGAGCTCTGTTGTAGTTTGTACTGGCCAGTGTCTCTGTGTATTATTTATCTGCTGTCATTTCAAACATACACTGCTTGTTAATATTAATATAAATCATCAGTCCGTGGTCCAGGCCTTTTACAACTGCAGTGGTTTTACCAACGTCCTTTTATGGCAGTAAAATGTCTCGCCTCTAATCATGTTCCTTTCCCTCTAGGTCATCCAGTTACTCTTATGTGATCTTCTCTTGGTGATGAGGACCAATGTGTGGCGTCTGCAACAACAAGGGGCCGGTCCTGCAGGGTCAGGGTTGGCAGGTACCAGCGGCCCCGCAGGGGTCCACCAGGCCTCCCCACCAGAGCTCCAAGGCTTTCAGCAAGATCTCAGCTCTTTACGCAAGCTGGCACACAGCTTCAGACCTGCAATGCGAAGAGTATGTATAAGAGTCACTGTTCACTATTACTAGTCACTACTATTCACTTGTCACTATTTTGTAAATTTACATCATAGTAGTTCAGCTCATGCCTTTTGTGAAACTTACTGTGAGCAAGTAGTTAGGGCGATCTGTTGTCATGCTGACATACAGTCAGACTTCTATTTAGTCTAGACTGGTATTTCCTCTCAGTCCAACACACAAGCGAACAGCATGAATACCCGATGAGTGACACACACAGGGAATTATTAAAACAATATGAACGCACCAACGCATCTCTTGTGTTGGTGTATTTGTATTGTCAGGCACTTAAAACCATAACTCATTACAACGTACCTTGAAATGCTCTTAAACCCACATGTAGAAGATTGACTCACAGACATGCTGCACATACATGGAGTGACAACGGCATGTAGAATTCAAATGCAAAATGCAACACATTAAAAGACTTAGCATATAGACATACAAATACTTCCTGTGCACATATTTGCAGGCAGCCCATGGTACAATTCTCTGTGGAAATTAGCTGGAAGGGGTTGAAATGCACACACACACACACACACACACACACGCACACACACACACACACACACACACACACACACACACACACACACACACNCACACACACACACACACACACGCATGCACACACACACACACACAGGCACACACCCCTGAGGCAAGTGTTTAGCAGCGTTGTTCACAAGGCTTCAAAGTCTCTCTGAGGTAGAGCTGAACATTCTGTATGAGTCATCATCACTCGCTCTCATTCCTCCTCCTCCTCCTCCTCCCCCCTCCACCTCCGCCGCTTCTCTCATCTCTCTCCCTCCCCTCCATCTCTTTCCAGTTGTTCCTCCATGAAGCAACAGCCAGGCTGATGGCAGGGGCCAGTCCCACCCGCACACATCAGCTCCTGGATCGCTCGCTGCGACGCAGAGCAACGCCCGGAGCCAAGACAGGTGTGTGGGGATGCTGATCTTTATTTTTCATCCACTCTGCACAAGTAATTCTGTCTTTAGGCAACATGATTTTAATAGTATTTGCTGCTCTTGAGATTTTCAATTTGTGTGCACTATTATTTGTTTTTCTACATATAGCAAACCTGTATTTTTTTAGAGGGTCTTAATAAGTTCAATCTTTTCTATTTTCTATTTCTTCAATGCATTGCCTATAAAACTTTTTTCTCCCTGTATAGTGAGGTATTGTGGGAAGTGTGAGATGCTCTTATACTATAATCAGTTTTTCATAGTTGTTTGAGTTAAATTTGTGTGGTACAAAGCTCTAATCAGGTAGCACTAAAGTAGGTTGCAGGGAAAAAAAATCAGAAAATTGAAAGCTCACTAATAAACTGCAATCATAGCTGGAGCTTTTCTCCAAGCATTGATTTTGAGATTTATTTTTTATTTTTTAATAAAAGTTGTAGTGTGCTGAGAGACACTGAATGGCTGTAATCAGTGGCTCTAATCAGCTTCTTGTCTATTTTGCCCAATTGTTCACTGCACTAAATCCCATCAGTAATTAAACAAGATGCTGCTGAAGTCTGATTGGCTGTTGGTGGCTGATGACATCCAAAAGCTCCCCCGAAATAGCACGGTAACAACGTTCGTTGTGTGTTTGTGTGCAGAGGAGTGTGAGACGCGGCCAGGCCAGCGGGAGCAGGCGGAGGCTGTGATGCTGGCATGCCGCTACCTTCCTCCCTCCTTTCTGTCGGCTCCTGGCCAAAGGGTGGGCATGCTGGCGGACGCAGCCCGCACCCTGGAGAAGCTGGGAGACAAGAGGACCCTCCACGACTGCCAGCAAATGATCATCAAGCTGGGCAGCGGCACCACTGTCACCAACAGCTAGAGGAGGAGGGGAAAGGGCTCAGAGACATGCATGGACACTGTATATAGGTAGATCTCTGACATATAAAAACACACAGATACACACCCATACAGTCTCTGGCATTTTGGCGTGCAGCTATTGAACAGATTTATTAAACTATACAGATTCATATCAACCTTGACAGGATTTTCTTCATGGACTGTCCCTCCCACCACCCCAGCCCCACATCAGAAGGCACTTATAAAGTTCACACTGCTACAGATTATTATCTGAATATACGAAGCATTTTTCTCCCTTACGGCGCTAAAGCCCCCAGTGAGATTGAATTGCAGTGCCACAGTTTGACCACAGAGAGGAGCCATCACATCCGCCTGGTGGATGTTGTCTGGATGGTGTGTGTATGTATACGTGTGTGTGTGTGTGTATGTATGTGTGTGTGTTTGTGTGTATGTGTGTGAAGCATGAAAGAGATATTTGCTCTGCATTTACTCAGTATAGTCCCACCCCCAGTCTTTTCAACATATAGATGCACCTTCTACAGGCAGGAGTGCTCAGTGGGTTGGAGTGGCGGGCTGCTCTGATTGGCTGCAGAGCGAGGTGTCTCTTGTGCGTGGGAGGAAAACGACCAAACTCGGAATTGGTCCGACCGTGGGCTTGTTCAGTGGGAAACCACTCCGCAGGTTGTTCAAATAGTGTTGAAGTTGCTTTGAATCATGTTTCACTGGTGATGATCTGAAAAGAGGTCGCCCACTGTACAAGCTCCGTGTCTCTATCTGCACTAGCCTTGCGAGGCTGATTTCAATGATAAGTAATAATATGGCTTTATGAGGTTATTTTCATAGAGGTCCTTTTTTTGTTTTGCTGTGTATATATTTTAAAATGTATTTATAATCTGTATGAACTTTGATTAAGCAGTATTTTACATAAGCAGAGTGAAAATTGCTTATTTTCTTCCCTGAGTTTTATTTGGTAGCTTTTGACCAGGTCCAAATAATGTAAACACTGTACTGTATTGCCATGGTGATGAGTGTCAAAATGGAGACAGAATCAAGTCATCAAGGTGACAGTTGGGTCACATCGTCTGACTCAGTTGACCTTTTGCACTGTTGCGCACGTATGCAACTATGATATCAAAAGAAGTTGGCAGCGTCCAATTCTGGCACGGCCAACCAACAACTCAATCTGTATCGTTAACCTTTGGCACTTTTGCAACAAGTTACATAAGTCGAGCAGGAAGTTTCAGAGTAATTGACCGTTTTTCTTTTTTTCCAAAGAGGGCCTGTAGTGATTCTTTTCCTGGTTTTCTTTTGTAGCTCCATCATAAAGAGCAATACTTGTTCTTTCAGTCATTATAGTTTCATGCTCCTAGAGAAACACTGTTAATTAATTTTTAGAGAACTGTAAAAAGGAAAAAAAAAACAACAGCAAAAACTTTGTCATGTGTTTTTTTGTCCCAGGACCAGTATGTTTTTATAGCGTGTCACTAATGTGAAAGACTGAAAGACTTCGGTTTGAGATGAATGAAATGCAACCATGTCTAAAGGTATTGTTCATGTGTCCTTTAGCTAACATCTTTTCATCTCTTCATCTCTTCCTTGTTCTTTGGTTTCATCCTTTTCTGATGTAAATATTAAAACATTTTGTAAAGAAGACTATAGTGTTTCTTGTGGTGCTGTCAGTTGCAGCGGTGTTCGATACCAGAAGATAATAAAACTAGATACCTTAAAATTAGGTAGGTTATGTAGGTCATGGGCTTACACTGTAAACTGGGATCAATTTTTTTCTATTTGGGGAGAACAATAATTAAATACATTCAACTGGAATAATATACCAACACACAATTTTGTAAAACATGATTTCTGTAAGTAAAGACCAAGAAATAATTTATTTAGTGTAATAGCTGCTGTTATGTGTTTTCTTAAACTCATTGCAAAAGTACACCATTTTTTTCATAATGTGAATGATTAACATATTTGTACATTTCAGATCGGAAGCTTTGAATTGTGACTAGTGATAAAATTTCTTAATATCTTTATGATATGATAATGGAAAAGATCATTTTTTATTACTCTTCTATTGAGCCTGCTTTTAATTGGTCCATACCTGAGTGACATATTGTTGGTCCCACTGTGTACAGCAGCAGAATTCAGGCACCAAGTCCAAAGTGTGTGTATGTCAGTGCACAATCAGTAAAGACAAAAAGAGCAGGCATTGGTCATAGCAGCATTGAAAGGTGCTGGTATATTTAACATTGGCGTTACAAAAAACATTTCAAACAAAGTGATGCTGTGTCATCGATTCCAAACAAATAGACATGAAAATCAATAAAACGGCATGCTCCAACTTAAGTGACATTCCCAAAAAAGGTCGTCATTTTTTTTCATCAATGGATTCTTTTAATAACATTTTATAAGCAATAACATATTCCATTTTATAGAAAATAAACATCTCTAGGAAATACTATACACAATTATATTAGTACATCACATCTTACATTTAAACAGCATCAAATACTTATATACACCATTAAATAATGAGTTTCATAAAAGAGAAAGTTTGGTGTGGCGTTTTTGCACTTTCTTTTATGCTCTAATACTTAAATATGTCTCCTTTTGATATGACCAGTACTTTAACTGACACCCTGTACAGGGCGTTGTTACATAGCATGGCAGCGTGATAGAGGCTACATTTGAGATACACAGACAGGTGTGTTATGAAATCTGAATTGAATGTATATCTTTCTGCACGGCTGTGGTCGGTGAAGTAATTATACATCATGGCAATGTTTAACAGTAATACTTCTGAACTGTACATAGATATGAAGTGAGATGACCTGACTCCCGGTTGGAGCCCTGATCTGCAACCTGTCGAGTGATGATGGCGGCGTCTACTGTACATATCGAATGTGCACACAGTTGAATGGACTCTTAAACAGAGTTTTCTTTGTTTTGTTTTTTTTTTTCTTTTTTTTTCTTCTTTTTTTCATATTTCTTTTTTAATCTCTGAATAACACAAAGCCTGACATATACCAAGGGTGACGCAATGATGTCGTATAGTCATAATGCACATCAAAATACATCTCCGAAGATAAGAGCATTATATTAAAATACTGCGTCCATTTTTTTCTTAACTCTTCAATATCAGAATATTTAGAACCTGTAAAGCACATCATCATGTACAGTTTCCTTTTTTGTTTCATTTTGTCTCTTGTTTTAAACACAAACGCACACATTGAGATAGTACATCCAGTGGTTGGCTGCTGCTTTTTTTGATGCATGACATCTTGAATTTGGAGATGCACTTCTTCACTCACACAGACACATATGCACAAACACACTGATGATGTGGCTGTAGGATGACAGTTTTATGATTATCACACTCACACACGGACACACGCACGCTCATACGGATACACGCCTCTTGGCCCACAGACAAGTTGGCCAAAGGGCTGCTCCTGTCCAATCAGTGTCCGCCAGGTGTCTGAATATGATAGCAACCTATCCGAGGGGCAGAACACACACACACACACACACACACACTCACACGCACACGTACACATTCCTCACTCTGCATTTCAAACAGCCCCCTGTGCACTAGGCCCACAGGCACACAGTCTCTAGAGCGCAGTCTGTCCTCCAGTTAAACAGTGCCGTGGCCTTCTGCCTTCCAGTAAGGAGCTCAGTTGAGAAAACACATTTCCAGGCCGGGTTCAGGGAGCAGCTATTCTCTGCGGAGCTGTTCTCCGTGGGTTGTATTGCTCCCAGCTCCACCTCAGCGCAGCCTTTTACCCTCCCCCCAGCCCCACTGGCCGATGTGCCTGTCCATCATCAGTCATCACCGTGTTTTTTTTAATTAAGTATAGGTGGCTGTTAGGACGGCATTTTCCTTTTGCTGGATTGGTGGATAGGTGGTGCTTGCCTGGCTGAGAGGTGGTGGTGGTGGTGGTGGTGGTGGTGGAGGTGGTACACTGGAATATCTTACAGGTCCTGTAGAGGAAGGGTAAAGAAACTGACATAAATACAAATCATAAACACACAGGGAGGAAGGAAAGGTATGAGTTGAGACAGACGTTTTCACTGCGACTGCTGCATTGGCTTTGAACTCACAGCATGGAATTCCCAGTAATTTTATCAGCCCGTATGTTCTGTTGGTATATGTTTCAACCCAAAATCTGGACTACATATCCATCCGGATACAAGTACTGCAGGTGGAGGCACCTCCTGTCCAGCTGTGCCCCCTCTCAGCTCATGTGTACTGTATGTGCTGTCTGTGCGTCTTTGTGTGAGACTGTACGTTTCCGTGCAGATCTGCAGAGTGCAGACATGAAAGCGAAGCGAGCTGGCTGCAGTGTGCAGGAGTGGGGAGATGGATGCAGCTGGCCAGTGAACCAGCTCCACTGTGAAAGACACAGCAGGAATGCCTACTAATTGCGCTGGTGTGGTGATGGTGGTGGTGGTGGTGGTGGTGGTGGCGGTGGAGCCCTTTCTTTCCCCTTATCCTCCTCTGCAGCCCCTCAGTATCTCTCGTTCACTCCGTCTTTTTCTCTGAACTGCCAGTTGCTCATCCTTATGCCCTGGACTCAGACCAGCAGCGTTGCTCTCTGTCTTTTTTATCTCTCTCTCTTTCTCTTTCAATCTCTCTATTTCTTTCTTTCTCTCCCTCTTTGAAGTTCCCCTCCCTCGCTCGTTCCCTTTCTGTTTACCTCCCTGGAGTAACTCATTCTTTTACACCTTCAGTCTCACTTGTTTTCTCTCTGCTTCTCCATCACTGAGTGTCTCTCCCTCTGCTGCCTGTCTCTCTTGTTGCCCTTCTTTTCTCTCTCTTTCTCTCTCTCTATCTTTCTCTTTCATTCTGTCGCTCTCTGATGTAACTGCCCCCATTCGTCTTTTGTTCCCACTCAGCCGCAGCACAAAACAGTCTGTTTTTCTTCTCCCTGCCTCTCCGCCTGTCTCTCTCTCCCGCCCACTGCGTGTATGTGTGTGAGCTTACAGGTAACCTGTTAATGAACCTGTGTGGACGCACTCGGTGTGTGTCCCTTAGCACCAGAGAATCCACAGCTGAAGGCAGCATGTGTTTGCAATTTCATCGATATGTGTGCTCCAGCCCTGAAAACAAGTGAACACAGGCAGAGGGAGAATTTCTGAGGGGGGACCCATGGGTGGGGTGGTTGCGTGCTTGTGTGTGTATGTGTGTGTGCGTACGTGTGTGTCTTCGCTTTCCTTTGATTAGGCTGCTCAGCGTAAATTGGCACAGCACAGACCCACACACACAGACCTTCAGATCCCTCAGCTGATGACAGCTCTGCCTAAGCCTGCTAACAACAATCTCTCTGTCTTGCTCTCCTTTTCTCTCTGTTTCTCACACTCTATTTCTGCTCCTTAGACGTGGGAGTTGAGGTGAAGAGAGACGGGGAGAGGGGAAGAGAGGAGATGAGAGAGAACGAGGGAGGAAGGGATGACGACTGAAAATGGAAAAGGGAGCTCACAGGAGATGAGAGGTGAACAGAGTGAGAGACGGAGGGAGCTGGAACAGCAGGGGAGCGCAGAAGCAAAATACGGGGAACGGGGAGAAAAAGGAGGAGGAAAGAGAAAATAACAAGAGGAAGAGGGAGAGAGTAAGAGAGAGAAAAGGGTGGAGAGAGCATGTGGGGAGGATAGCAGGCAGGGATGGTGGGTGGGGTGTTTTTGATCAGCAGCCAGCTTTTCATCCCTGTCAGTCTGCACAGAGGAGAGCAGGAAAGGAAGAGGGAGAGAGGGAGGGCGAGAGATGCGGAGAGGGGAGGGAGGAAGGGAGGCTACTACCACTGCTGCCTCAATGCACCGCTGCTCCCTGCTGAATGTCAGCATCTCTCCCTCGCTACCCCCCCCCCCACCCCCCTCTGCATTTGACCTTCCTCCTCTGTGCTGCAGTGTGAACACGCCGCCACCAGATGGCGTCTGCATTACAGGTAAGCTTACTGTGGACTGGCCTGTTCATGTTAACACAAAAACGGTGGCCTGTTGTAATTACAGTGGTCTATGGTCATAACGGTGGGTGCTGAGTGACAGTAATACACAAAGGGCCCATAACTAAGCGTTTACACAGCTAGTGGTGGTTGATGTGGGTTTAGCTTGCCAAGGTCATTGAGTACATATTAACAAAAGATGGGTCAACCCAAGATGAGATCCTGGCCTTTATGGGCTATAATACTGGCATGAGAGTAGATGGGGTACTTGATGCCAGTGTACAGTGAACACCACTCCGAACCCTTGGGTTTTCGTCTTTGATCCTTTCTGTGTTTTACAGGAGCCGACAATAGTGTTTTCTGTTCTGCACTGTATCATCTATCCAGCCACGGTGCTGCTGCTTGTGACAGCAATGTGTGAATTCAATTTTCTATTCTGTTCTGAGAGGGATGAAGAGAGAGAGAGAGGAGAGGGGAGTCGGGGGGTTGGGGGGCAAAATGTACAGTGGTTCTGGAAGCAGAGAGGCTATTAGTGTCGTAATAGGAACAAAAACCTATGCAGACCCACTCTACATAAATGTATATGAAACACTGATATCTAAGTGGTTGCCCTGGGAAATGCTAAGACGTCATTCTATGTATGACTCACTGTTAAAACCTTGGTGCCGATCAGTAAAAGTCAGCTAAAAAGATGGATAATAATGGATAATATGAAGGACTGTTTTGAAGTTTTCATTTTCTTACCTCATGTTTAGGACATTTGATGGAAAAGTCATCCTCGTGGAATGTGCAGCCTATAGTCAGGGAGAGAGAAAGTAAAGAAAAGGAGAGAATAAGTATCGCACATAATAGACAATAACAACAAATGGAACACATAGAATGAGGCGGATACACGCAACAACCCCCACAACCCCCCTTCGAAAAACCCAGATAAATGACAAGGAGGTTGGATTAAAATGAAAATTGAGCAAGATAGAGGTGGAGAGAGAAAGAGGAGAAAGAGCAGTCGGGCAAGAGAGAGAGAGAGAGAAAGGGAGAGAGAGAGAGAGCAACAGAGGAAAGAGAGAGACTGAGTGGATGAGTTGCGATGCAGGCAGGCAGTCAGATATGGCTGGTGCACTCAGCAGGATTAAAAAGGGCCTCGCTCTGCTCCCTGTGCTGGCTCGGCAGACGTGGCAGGCCTTCTAATCCCCACACTGTACTTCCTTGGCATGAGGTAATGTAAGGGGAAGCCATACAACACATGTGCTGACACACAGACACTCACTTATATCGACAACAAAAACCATGGACACACGCACATGCTCGCAAGCATTGAAGGGAACGTGCATAAGCAACATGGTTGCAAGACGCACATAGGGAGGTGTTCAGGCAGGAAGGCACACAAACAGACGCATGCAAACCCTCTCGCATGCACATCGAGTCCCCAGACTGCAGAATGGATGGATGGAGCCACAGGGGTTGTGGTCAATAATACACACATACACACCCTCCTCCCTCTAACTCTTCCCTCTCTCCCTCTTGCACACTCCAGGGTCCCACTTTCCTCTCATCATCCCCTTTATTCAAAGCCCCCTCCCTCTTTTCCTCTTTTGCTCTCCCCTAGCACTCTCAGACATCTCTTCTTGCACTCAATAATGTTACTTCTTGATGTATTTTCCTTCTCTCATTTTACCCACATCCACTCTCCCAACCATCTCTTTTTTCCCTCTGCTTTCATTTTTCTCCTTTTTTTTTCTACCTATCGTATTTGTTCCCCTCCCTATTGCCCTCTCAACCCACGTTCAATTTCCCGTTCCCAATTGCCCTTCTCGTTTCTCCTCCCTCTCCTTGGCTTTTCTTCCCTTTTCATCCCCTTTTGCTCTATTCCTCTCTTGCTGTGGTCTCTTACCTATCTCTTTGGCGCAGACATAGTGGTATTTATGAGAGCAGCCTCTCCAACAGCAGCTGAGGGACGCCCCCACAATCTGGCACTTGTAGCAACTCTGGGGTTAGTCAGACAGACAGACATATGGACCGAGACCAATAAAAAAACAAACAAAATGACCGACAGAGGCATGTAGGGATAGAGAGAAAAAGAGGAAAAAGTGTCAAAAGTTAACAACAATTTCTCAAAGCCGCCAGAACAGATTCTGAAAGTGACATAGTATTTCTCTTCCACAAGGTTCCACTTCCACAAGGATGCACACATTTCAAAATCGTACAAGACTCACTAATTGCTATCGTACCGTTTGGGCTGAGTTGTTGGCAGCCTCCTTCAGTCCGTATAGCCTCCCAGCGACCATAATTACCCCCTTGGTCCAGATGGCACAGTTTTCATGGGCCCAGTGCTCCTTGGCCTCTGCCTCCACTTGTAGCCTTCGGAACACGCTGTCATTGCCCTCCTGGTCACTCAAGGCCCCTGTGCTGATGGCCTGGAGCTGTTTCATCCTCCTGAATCTCTCTCGGAGAGTTAATCTTCGGGAACCACCCTCCCGACCCGTTCTTTCTGTTCTTTCCGCCCGTCGGTAGCGCCAGTGATGGTGCCTGCTACTACTGCCCTCTTGAGTGGATGCTTCTGTGTTGCCCTCCTTTTCTGTGCTGCCCTCACCCTCATTCTTTGAGCAGTTGCCTGGTTTGTCACTGCTGCTACAGTTGCTGTCATTGCTCTTCTCTGACTCTTCCCTGAGGGATTCTGTGTGCCTGATCGTCAAGATTTTCCGTGGAACGCCATCCTCTGTGTAGTAGGGTCCACACAAATCGCCTAGGTCTCTGTAGTTTGCTGGCTTTCCACATAAGGAGCATGTAAGACACCTGTCAATTAGAGTTTTATTAACCAAAGGTCCCTGTAGCATGGCAGCAGTGTGTGGTACTACCTTTGCAACCGTGAAAGGATTCCTCATTCTGAGTATGCCCTTTTTTCTACGTCTCTGAAATATTACTGCGTCCTCAGGCTTGTTCACTATGGCGCACCAAGAGGAAAAATCTCTGGAGTTGTTTATCCGTACGTAAGGACAGAAAGACAGTTTAGAATTTTGATGTACAGGTCTGCGCCTGATTCTTTTCACAGAAATTGTCTCAGTCTGTTTTTCTGATTGTGATATTGTCACAACAGGACCCACAATACACGTCTTCTCTTTTTCTTCATTCTCTCTTTCCTTTTCCTCCTTTTCCTTTACTTCTTTTTCAGCCTGTTCACATCCTGCAGCCCTTACTACTGCCTCAATAACCTCCATGGCGTCTTTCATCCCAGGTTTTGGCCCAGGCTTTTTGTGGACTTTCACTGGCATGCCAGGAATCTGCTCTGATGGGGCTTTGCCTCGTTTCCTCTTGGAAGGGTTTGCTGATGGTTTTCTGCCTCTCCTAGGTTTCTGGATGAGTTCTGTGCTGGTAACCTGGGGGGCTTCTGTGATCTCAACTGGGCTGATTGGTAGAGGTACTGTGGACTCTGATGGGGATACCTTCTCTTCTACCCTCTCCTGTTGTTGTTCTGCTGTTTCAATATTTGTCTCCTCAACTGGCTCTGTCTCCTCCAGAGGTGCTTGGCCTTTTCTCTTCTTCCTCCTCTGTTTCAGATGCATCTCATGGTTGTTTTTAATGGCCCTCTGCTTGGCTAGCCTAGGTGTTGTAACTATTAGACTCCCTGCCTCCAATGCTACTACAGAGGCATCTGTACTCTCCACCATAGCCCATCTCTTCCTTTTAGTTCTGGAGGACTTAGAGACAGTGGTAGATACACCTTCTGAAGTTTGTTGTGTCCACCCTCCTGTAGCCCTGACTTCCACTGGGACCTCCACTGAGCTCCAAACCTTGCCACCTCTGCCATCCTGCTGTATCTCTGGTTTAATGTTTTCCTCCTTATTTACAACTTCTTTCATCCCATGTCTCACCTTGTCTGGTGCTGACGCCACTTGACTCACCTCATGCTTTTCTCTTCCTTGTGTCACCTCCTCTTTTCTTAGTGCTCTTTCATGTTGTTTCACTCCTTCTTGTCTAGACTCTTTCACTTCTCCCTCTATCATCTCAGTGCTATTTACAAGCAGAGACGTCTCACCTTCTTTTAAGACATGTTGAGACAAAGCCTTGGTTGTAACATCATCAGTTAGACTGTTGTCTATCTGGGGAATTGGGAGGTGTTTCTTTGAGCTGGGAGATGTAATTTTCTGCACCATGGCCTCATATTTCTGTCCTCTGCCTTTTCGTGGTGGGAGAACCTTTGTTTTAGTGGGGCACTGAGGTGGCACCACAGGCACATCACTAGTGATGTCAGATTCACTGATGTTGGGAGCAGTGTCTTTGGTTTGGGGAGTGACCACAGAAGCTTTCTTGGGTGGCCCTCGCTTTCTTCTGGGGCCACGGACAGCCTTCTCTTTAGGTGTAGAGACATGCTGTTCCAGCTGGGGTTGAGGTGGTAAAGGTTTCGCTTTGGGCTTGGGACCCCTCTTTTTCTTTACAGGTGCACTGGAAATTTCTGGGCTAGGTTTCCTTTTTAGTGGAAACGATGTCTTTTCTTCAGATTGTTCAGTAAGGACTGATGGGGCAAGTGGTGCAGCTGGGTCTGCTGGAACATCTGTGTTTTTGACTGCATTAGGAATGGGAGTTTGAATTTGTTCCACAGTTACAGGCTCTTCTACTTTTGGAGAAACATCAATGGTTTTAATTTCTGCTAGCGTCTGTGGTAGAATATCTTCTCCTATGATTTTTTCCTTTTCTTTTGACAGTTTTTCTTGCGAGGGTTTTCTGGATCTTAAGACCATGTTCTTACCTTCCTTCTCTGGTGCCTTTACCTCATGGTTTGCTTGTTTCTCCTCCTGGTTTACTGGTTTTACATCCTGGTTTACTTGTGATAATGTAGCTTTTAGGCTCTTCCTGCCCCTGCTTTGCAGTCCTGTCAAAGGTTGAATGATTTCTTCTTGTTGTACCAGCTTTGCTTTAGAAACTGAGCCTTTTGGACGACCTACTGGAGCTTTGATCAGTGCAGTGTCGGTGGGGGGCAAAACATCTGCAGGCTTGGTTCCAGGCTTATGTCCTGGTTTTGGACCTGACTTTAGAGCTGGTTTTGGTCCAGGTTTTGGCCCAGATTTTGGTCCAGGTTTTGAACCTGGTTTGGGTCCTGGTTTTCGTTTCACAGGAGTCTCAATTTTCAGTGGCAGCTCTGGTTCATTTGGCACAGGTTTTGGTCCTGGTTTAGGACCTGGTTTAGGTACAGGTTTTGGCCCGGGCTTTGGTCCAGGCTTTAGCCCAGGTTTAGGCCCTGGTTTTGGCCCTGGCTTTGCTCCTGGTTTTGGCCCTGGTTTTGGTCCAGGTTTTGGCCCTGGTTTGGGCCCAGGCTTTGAACCTGGTTTTGGGCCTGGTTTTCTCTTCACATGAGGCTCAACTTTTGGTGGCATGTCTGGTGCATTGAATGAGCGAGTGCACATTCTTGAACGAAAACCATCAGTTACCATTTTGGGAGTCTGGCTCACAATAGATTCCTGATGAGCTAGGTCCATTTGATCTGAAAATAGCACAGTTTTGCTTGGAGGCATGCAGGGTTTCTGTGTAGGTAAGGGGGCTCCTTCTTCTTCCTTCTCACCCTCCCTCTCCAAACTTAGCTGTCGCCTGATTCCCACACCTGAATGCATGATTCTCCTTCTGCCCCTGGCATGCTTACGTCCAAAAGCCCTCGGCTGAGCAGATGGGGCCACAGGCTCTGGCTTGGCCAAGGGGGTCACAGCACTAGCGCAGCTGATGCCTGGCTCCATGTCCTCATCACCTTTTTTTGGGGAGGGTGGAGTGTCTGCCCAGGAGGGGGCTGAGGGAAGTATTGACTTCCCTGGCAGCTGAGGAGAGTCTGGCTCCAGCACTTTAGCATCACTGTGATCAATATGATCTCTGGCCTGAGCTGGAGGTGTCGCCTTGTCATTGAGAGCTGAGAAGACTGGCATAGCAGACTGGGGCTGAGGAGCAGTGTCACCAATGGCTGACTCCCTTGCAGAAGCATCTGCAGCTGCTGTTGCTGCAGCTGCATTTGGATGGGCAGGTGCCCCTGCAAACTCATTGTCAGTGTGGAGCTCAGTACTCTGACTCTCTGTCCTGCTGCAGAGATCTCCAGGAGGCTTCTCTGGCCGGTCTATATTATTTATGTGCTCCTCAGTCGATGACTGGCTCCCTTTCTCCCCCTCCCCCAATTCCTCCCTAACCTCTGCAGACAGAGGAGGGGAAAGAGTATGTTGCTGTTGTTTCTGTATTTCTTCCTCTTCCTCCTCTTCTTCTTCTTCTTCTTCTTCTTCTTCATCGGCGTATCCCTCCTCTTCATCCTCCTCATCTCTGCTCTCTCTCTTATCTGAATTGCTCTCATCCAGGGCCTCAACCTGTGGGGTTGGAGAGGTGTTCTCTGAGCTGTCCTCTTTCTCTGTGGAGTATTGATCTTGTTCAAGGTCACCCCTAGAAATGAAAGGCAATGTTTTCACTGAGCTCTCAGAAGCAGTTGGAGACTCAGATTTGAATGCCTCTGATTTCACCTCTTGGCCAAAGTGTTCCTTGTGGCTGGAGTCAGAGAGAGCTGCTGGGGACTGATGAACTGAGTCTCTTGCATCAGGGTCATATTTGCTCTGGACCCCTTGGTACACTGACTCCTCATAGCAATAACTTTTTTCTGTCACCTCTTTGTTTACTTTGCTGTAGAGAGAGGGGCGTTTCTCTTTATCTGTCCATTTCTCCAGCTTGTCTGTAGATTTAGTTGTGTCTGAATCTCTGTCACAGTCAGGAGTTTTTTCTGTCATCACTTCCTCTTTGTCAGCTGATTTCTCTGTCCAGGCTGATTCTTCAAAGTTCTCTTTCACAGGCTCATTGATATGCTGTATATCTGAAGGGGAGTCCCTTTCTTGTTTCATTGGACTGGGGACTGTGATGCTTGTGGGAGACCTCTCGTCACCAATGCTCTTCACTGGAGTACTCATGCCATCTCCTCCCTGCCCTGATTGACATCTAGTAGGATCAGGAGTAAGGTTGTGCAGACCTGAGTCCCCAGATCTGGTGGACATATCATCTGGAGATGTCATGGAGCATGACGAGGCTGTGTCCAGGCTGAGTTGTGTGTTGGTAGGGGCCTGTGCTGGACTTCGGCCCTGGCCACAGAAGTAGTAGCCCCTCTCCAGCTGTTCATCACTACTGCTAGAATAGCCTCCCTCATGAAGTTCCATGGGCATTGGCTGGTGCTGTGGAGTAGAGTAAGGGTCCTGCATGGGGCCTCCGACACCACCACCACCATCTGGATAAGGAGGACTTTTGTACTCCTCACCCTTTTTGGAAGATGCTCCACTTCCAGCACTGCTGTTGCTCCCTCCACTGCTGCGTTTACCAGCTTTCTTGTTGGCCACCAGGGCCTCTGAAAGCAGCAGCTGCTGGACATTATTAGAGATGTTTTCTACCTGAGAGGTGAGGGCATTCAGGCTCCACAAGCTGGGGTTTGACAGCAGTTTCTCTGAGAAGCGCTCTTTCATGGTGGGGACCTGCGGTGTAGAGGTGTAGCTGTGTGGGGCTGCATGGGGCACATTGGGTGAGGCGTGTGAGCGTGGGGGCATCAACATTGTGTTGGTGCTGGCTTGCTCCTGCATACCAGCTGAAGAGGATGAAGAGGAGGAGGCTGCCCCAGGGGTCATGGGAGGTTGGCCATACTGGAAGGACTCTGGATTGGTCATTAGTGGTGAAGGTGTAGAGCTGTATGAGGGTGAACGCCCTACAGAGCGTGCAGGGGAGTGGCCTGAGGAGGGGCTACAAGTCTGATAATACTGTTCTGGTGATCTGACAGACAGCTCTGAGAGACAGTAGTTTTGTTGGGGTTGGCTGTAGTGTTGGTATTTAGGGTGGGGCTCCTGGGGATTGGCCATTGCCTGTAAAGGAGCCTGCTGCTCATAACCTCTGGAGGGAGGCTGCTGGTAGCCGTAACTGTTCTGGCTCGACCTGTAACCCCCCTGCTTCAGATTGCTGTGGCTGCTCATTTGTCTACCATACTGGGAATTCGGAGGCATGTTGTAACCTTTATAACAGTGGGGCATAGGGCTGCACTTTTCCATGTATGGTGAAGGAGAAGGTGAATGCTGGGGGTAGTGCAGGTGACTCTGGGGGTACATGAGAGAGGAGGAGGTAGGGTTAGGAGGATGGGACTGGTGGTGGGGGCTGGTATAGGCAGGGGTGGAAGGCTGGTGACACTGGGTCTGGGAGTGGCCCAGCATGTTCTGGTCCATGTACTGGGTGGAGCCAGGTGCAGGGGTGCCACCAGCCTCGATACGCCCCACCATCTCTTGGTCGTACTGTGCTAACTGGGCTGGGTCCTCCCACTTCTGCTGTAGGTGGCCCTCGCTCATATACTGGGCTGAGTAATTCCCGGGGGCCATATGGTTACCATAGCCCCCAGGGCCTTGCAGGTGCTGATTGGGGTTTGGTGGGGGCACTTTGCTTCCTCTGAAGGATTTCTTTGCCTGTGTGGATGCTGTGCCCCCATTTCCGCTCCCATTCCCTCCACCATTGCCTGGATAACCAGCGTAGGCTTGCTGGCTGTAACAGTCCTTGGGTCCTCCTCCAGTTCCTGGTCCTCCAGCTGGAGGCATGCTTGTGGGGTTTGCCAGTGAATGAGCCTCATAGCCTGACCTGGTGTGCCCTGGGCCTGGACCTGGATGTGGACCGGGGCCTGGGTGTGGGTGCTGTGGGTGGGGATGATGTGGGTGTTGCCGGTAGGTCTCCAGGCGGGATAATTCATGGGGCTCCTGCTGGTAGCAGGGTTGGTTGCTGTGGTAACCACCGCTGCGCTCACGGAAGGACTGCATAACTCTCTCCGTCTGTAGCCAGAGCAGGGAGGGGGAGGTGAGGTGAGACGGGAAAGGGGGAGGGGGGTTAGGGGTTCTGAAGGCAGGGAGAGAGGGGGGAAGTGAGAAAAAAGAGGGAGAAATTGTGAGGGTTAGAGCTGTTGAGCCTGCAGTTTATCCATTCTGCTTTTTCTCCTTTCATATTCAATGTCTAATTTTATTTAACATTCGCCTGGAGTCAAAGCTAAAATCTCCTCTTTGCTGGGAATCATTGAAGATGGTATTTTTCACACTCCCTCCCACAATCATTCAAACACTCACAGGTGTGCAGGGCCCATGTAGATACAGAATGATGTAGATCTTCACATTTCACATTTACCATCAATAACTGTATCTTACTGTAAATTGCTCACAGCACAAAGAGCTGTTTTCTCTTGTCCAGATTTGAAGAAATCATGCACATGTGTGTGTGTGTTTGTGTGTGTGTGTGTGTGTGTATAAAATGGCCTCACAATGGTGCAGGCTTCAGGATCTGTTTCAGCCTCTCAAGATGGAGGGGCATGCATGTGATGCAGTGTCTGCTGCTGTGATTGACAGGTCTGGGAGATAGAGGAGAAGGAGACAGTAGTGTCTGGGAACTTAATTACCTATCTGCAATAAATATATAATCATAACAACTGTTCACCTGCGTGTATGTGTGTGAATAGGGGTCCTTGATTGAGGCCAGGCAATTGTTCAAAGGCTGTGGGCCACAACAATGAGATGACATCTGAGGAGCATCCGTGTTGGGTCGTAACACTGGCTCTGAGTGTAAACTGAACTCATTTACATCACCACTGTGGCAATCTGGCTTTTTTTCCAGCTGATTTTGTATGATGCATTATTCATAATTGTTTCAGGATGAAATATGATCCTTAGACTTAGCCCCTGTTTTCTAACCACTCTTATATATTACAATTTATTATCTAAACAAACAATATAAAGCGATATTTTCTGGTTTGTCTTTGATGCAGTGTTTCATAAAAGGTTCCATTGAGCCCTCTTTTCCGTCTCTCCCCCCCCCGTCTTCTCCTGCACAGATGCAAACTCCAATTTCCTCCAAGGGGAAGTGGGAAGTGTTACAGTGTGTGTTTGCGTGCATGCTCTCAGTATACCAGTAGGGATGTCATAAAGTGTGTTTGTGTGTGTTGTGTTTGGTGTGTTTGTTCCAGTATGTGAGTGCATGTGGCAATGTTTGTCTGTAATCTCTTGACTGCCTGTGAGTGTGTGTGTGTGTGTGTGTGTGTGCGTGTGTTTGTGAATGTGTGTTTTTGCATTCATACAAAAGACAGAGAAAGAGAGGAGGGGCGGAGAGTGCTCTTGCTCTATAAAAGGAATAGAGTCACCTGGAGACAGAGCGCTGAGCCTGTGTGTGCATGTGTGTATGTGTGTGTGTGTGTTTGCATGTGTGTGTTTGCGTGTGTGTCAGCCAGTTCCAGCACAATATCCCGGCATTCAACCCGCCCCAGGGACAGTGGTGCATCCCACCAGACGCACAGTAGCATTATTCATCTCTGAAACACACAGTTTGGGTGTGTGTGTGTGTGTGTGTGAAAGAGAGAGAGAAAGAGAGAGCGAGAGAGAGAGCGAGAGAGAAAAAGAGAGTAGGTCTATTTGTGTTTATGTATGCAGGTCCACAGCTTTTGGCAGTCCCTTAAATATACACACAAACATGCAAAAAACACAAGCACACACACACACACACACACACACACACACACACACACACACACACACACACACACACACACACACACACACACACACACCCACACACACACACACACACACACACACACACACCCATCTATAGATTCCCCTGGAGATTCTCTGTCCTCCCTCCTACCTTCCTATCTCCCCTGCCTGCAGCCTACTTGTGCTTCACCCTGGCTGATGTGATGTGTGTGTGTGTGTGTGTGTGTGTGTGTGTGTGTGTGTGTGTATGTGTGTGTGTGTGTGTGTGTGTGTGAGAATACTTGTTTATACAATGACCTAAATAAGATGCTTATAGGAGACAAGGGGTGGGATTCTGCCAGACCAAGCTTGCCGAGCACAGCAGAGAGGATGGACCGAGGCGCACATCTCTGTTGGGATCCAGTGTTGTGATGCCATGTGTCTAGCTGTACATTTGTGTCTGTTTGTCATTTCCACTCTTCCCCACAACAGCCTCTTCTGACAAATAATTCATTAGATTTTTTAAGCCTATGTGTCTCACTAAAAACAAAGCGAACAAAAAAAAAGCCCTCTCCCCCATCAATTTACTTCACTCCTCCTCCTGTCTTTTCTCTTGTACTCATACACCCATACATGCATGTGTGTATGTGAGTGGGGTCGACATTCCAATCACGTCTCCTCTCCACCTCCACACTGCACCTCCTCCTCCCACCTCTATCTTCGACAGAGAGCCACAGCATTGTGTGGTCGGCCTGCCTCTGTATTTGTGGATGCACCACGTCACATTGCACTGCTCCCCGCCTCAGTAGGGGTCAAAGAGGAGAGAGGACGAAGGACACATGCTGAGATCGCCAAATCCCCTCTGTTGTTCCGTCTGTCTGTCTGTCCGTTTATTAGGTAGCGCTTGCATTGATTTTGCTGCTGTTTGAGCACAGAGAGAGAGGGATAGAGGAGAAGCAAGCACATGTATCGCTCACTGGCTGTCGTTTGCACACAGCAGGACACCCACGTTGACTGGTCCTTGTTTTCTTGTGTGTGTGTGTTTGTTTTTATGTTTTCTCCATCCTTTCTTTCTTTCTTTCTTTTGACCACTACCTTTCTCTTTTTTGCCCTTCTGTCTTTTTTTCTCCTCCTCTTATCTCTCTTCCTTTATCTTTCTCAAATCCTCTCTTTCGCGCTGTGCCGTGATCGGAAAGGAGAATGGCAATGAAAGAGGGAAAGACAACAAGGTGTCGTGGAGGAGAGAGAGGAAGAGTCAGCTGAGGATGGGGGTGGGGTGGGGGAAGCTGAGAGTGGGGGGATGCAAGCGGTGGGGAAGGAGTGATGGAATGATAAGTTTGAAGAGGAGGAGGATGAGGAGAAGGGGGGTGCTGAAGACATAGGAGGATAGATGATTTACTGAGTGGGCTTTACAACCTGGGCTCCTGGGAAATATGAGCTGCAGCAATCACCGCACACACACACACACACACACACACACACACTCACACACACACACACACTCACACACACACACACACTCACACACACACACACACTCACACACACACACACACTCACACACACACACACACTCACACACACACACACACACACACACACACGCACAGATGTATGCATGCAAAATGGTAGACTGGCACAAGCTTACAAGGCAGTGGGGTCCATAATTAGCCAAATGCTTCACCTCCACAGATGAACATGAGCTGCTAGACGTGTGATTGATTACCTTCGGCTCTGCCCACTTCAAATCTTATCAAGGCAGCTGCCCTCATAACCAGCTTTATTGTCATCGTAGATTGGTAAACCTTAAATTGACATCAGAGTTTGAATGTTTTTGTACTTGTGTGTATTTCTTTATGTGCATTTTTTAAAAGTGTATCCATGGGGGCATTTTCAGATCGTAAGCATTGGAGTGGGTCTGTCTCTAAAGAAAATATTGTCAGGAAGGAAGGACAGGGGGAGAGCACTGTAAGGGAGGGAGGGAAGGGTGAAGGAGGAGAGGAGGGTGAATCTGATTGTTCCGCTGGATGGTTCATAATGCGCAGAGCTGCGACTGGTTACAGTCCCCCCTTCATTCTTTTTTTATCCTCTCTCCCTCTCTTTCATCGCATCATCTTCAGAGGCAGCTTGAGATGGGATTTATCTTCTTTCTCTCTATGCACATGCACGCACACACACACACACACACACACACACACACACACACACACACACACACACACACACACACAGCACACAAACAGGCAGCTCTCTCGTTCCATCAACTCTGGCTCTGAATCACTTTCACTTCAAATCTTTTCCTGCTCTCCTGTCTATCTGACACAAACAAACACACACATGCAAATGCACAAACACGCCCCCCCCCCCCCCCACACACACACACACACACACATAAATGGAGGCATACGGAGTGGAGGGATGGAACGTCTCCCTGTGTGTTTACCTCCCCAGTCATCCTGGTTAATTATGCATGCAGAGGCAGTTTGCTGGGGAGGTGGAGCGGCCTGGGAGGAAACACACACATACGCACTCACCCCATCACACATATTCACAAACAGTCGCACTTCACCACCACCACCACCACCGGAATCATCACAACACGCCCCGGCAGCACAGACACCAAAGCTCAGCTCACATGCTCCTTGACAACCCGACAGCGCACACGAAAATAAGCCAAACATGCTATGCTCTCTGTCCCACCCACCCCCCCCCCCCCCCCTCCCCGCTTCACCACACACACTCATGTCTAACACATCTGCCTTTAACACCCTGCTTAACACAGCAGGCTCCAAAATAACACAGCAGCCAATCAGCACGCTGCTATCCCCTTCCTCATTACACACACTTCAGCAAGGCACAGAGAGTGTTCTGATGCCTCCAACTATTCAGATTGCCTGTGTGTATCCTCCCCTCTCAGCGGACACTCTGCCCTTTTACTTGATAACTGCAGGTCCAACACACAGGACAGACAGACAGACAGATGGACAGTCAGACACACATCTTCTCTCGGTCTCTCTCCTCCTTTTCTTCTCCGCAGTGTCTGGCCAGGCTGTGTGGGTGGGTTCCTACCCAAGGGAGAGGCTCAGGAGATGTAGGGAGCCAATATCTGCTCTGACATTTGTCAGTGTCCCGTTGTCATGACACACAGCTGGAGGTCACGGGGGGTCACCGGCAGCCGGTCACATAGATTATAGGAAGAGACATAGAGGGGAAGTGGGGGGGGTGGAGACCTGCCATTGACACTCACAGACAGACAGACAGATGGACAGATGGCGCTTTGAGGCTACGAGACAGGTGGCAAATAAATT